TGGGATAACTCGCTTATGGTGTAAAATTCACTTATTTCAAGAAATTACAAACGACTAAAGTTGCTTTTCATAGGATTTGGTGGATTAACCTGCTGATAGTTTGACGGGGGTGGTTTCTTGGGGGTGAAACACCCCTTAAACATATTTTTTTTTTAAATCTGGAAACACGTCAATTTAATTTTGGTATTTTCTCATTATCAGTGCGATTTTTAAATCATTCGAGCTGATTTACTATATTACATGTCGTAAAACAGTACAAAAAGTAGTGTATTTACCCCTATTAAAAAGGGGGTTGCAACCCTTCGGTATAAATGTTGTCCTTAAAAGCGCCTTTTTATAAGAAATTTTTTATCGTTGAGTTTACTGAAAAATATTCATTTGATGGTGAAAAATATTAAAGAAACTGATTTTAGGGGTTGTTTTTAAGGGTGGATTTCACCCCTTAAGAGCCCTTATGGGCCGATAAAAAAAACACGTATCTAATTTTTTTTAAGTACTACAACATATCCCAAAATCATTCAAATTGGTGAGGTCGGGTTGGGGTGGTTCCCTTGTAACTAAGTGTGCACTCGTGTCTTGATGAAACAGAATTTTTTTTGTTCAAATGAGGACGTTTTTCCTTTATTTTCTCGCTTACCCGATCCAACAACAACGCATAATACTCTCTGGTGATTGTCTGTCGTTTTTCTAAATAGTCGACGAAGATAATTCCACGTGCATTCCAAAAAACAATGGCCATAACCTTGCCGGCCGATTCCACTGTTTTCGCCTTCTTTGGAGCTGATTGGCCTTTTACAATTTACTGTCTTGACTGTTCCTTCGTCTCAGGAGTGTAGTGGTGTATCCATGTTTCGTCTACAGTTATGAATCGTCCGGATTACGGTGGATGCTTGTCAAGAGGGCCTCAGTGGCCACCATTCGACTGCGTCTGTTCTCGACTGAGAGCAAATGCGGCACTCATCTAACCGAATATTTTTTCCTGTCTAATTTCTCATGCAAAATTGAAATGACTGTACCTTATGAAACCCCTATGCCCTCAGCTATTTCGCGTAATTCTATTCTTCGGTCACTTATGGATTTTATTGATCATTTCCGAAGTATGCACGTCTACAGGACGTCCTGAACGATATTCATCTGCAGTCGACGTACAGCTATGTTTAAATTCATTTACCCAATTGTAAATAGTTGCAAACATAGGGGCAGATACACCATGAACTGCATCTAACTCAGCTTTGATTTCTTTCGGTGTAAAGCCTTTTAAATAGAAATGTTTTATCACCGCTCGGAACTCACTTTTTTCATTGTCAACAAGAAACAAAAGTTGTTCACTTTGATGGATGATAAAAACGGAACTATTCGATGGATCTTGCTGAAATTTCGTGAGTGTGGTTTCGCCATCGAGGGCGAAACCGTGTGTGCGTGCATTCGTGACCTGCGATAAACGGACAAAAACAATTCCGTGCAGTGTGTGACTGTCGTTTTCCCCGTACGTCTGCAATAACAAGGTAAGCTGGCCAGCTTAATCTCGCGATCGCGGTTGCATGGTTAACAAATAAAGTATCGTTTCCGAAGCGTGCACGTAATAGCGATATTGACAAAGCGCAGCGAGCGTCCCGACATTGTATGTTGTCGATGAGCGAGCGTCGATGTAAACAAACGCGCGGGCCGACTTTGTGTAGTATTTGAGGAATAATAAAAGGTTTAGTCCGCATTACTAACAAGTGTTTTTCCGACTCGCTCACACCTTAGAGCTTCCACTCAATTGATTATAAGTTATTAAGAATTATTGGTTGACTGGCGCCTGTCTTCACATGCTCTCCGGACTACATTTCGAGCATTGATAATTACATTCGCCCCTTTTATTTAATAGCGTGAATAAAATATAATTAAACGGTTTTACCCCGTTACAACATATATAATTAGAAATTTCTAATTCTTTTGGAAATTCCTGATAGGTGAGAACTCGCGCGAGGCGAGTTTGTCCCGTACGAAGGCCTTTTTAACAGCCGAGCGGCCTTAGACTCGGGCGGCAGTCAGGCTTTCGGGCACCCCGGCCCGTTCGCGCGTCAATAATGAAATCTCTGTTAATTATAATCCGACACTCGATATCGCAATTGTAAAATAAATAATTGAACGTTTATAACGTTTTTCGCTTGTTTATTAAAAGGAAAAATGTAATAACGATTTTCTTTAATATAATGGGGAAGCATATGGATACACTTATAGGCGTTTATATTTATAATATTTATTCTAGTCTCTTTCACAATATAAATAAGTTAAGCAGAATAGAGATATATACTACTGTGGGCAAAAAGTAAGGTGAATTTTCAATTTAAACTTCGCGGGCTTAACATTTCGGGCTAGTTCTTTTTTTCTTGAGTTGGTAGGACTGCGAATGACATCTGGGACAAATTTCATGTCAATGTCATCATCAGTAATATATTTACGCTTGTGTTTACCAAACGACCAAGAGTGCATGTTTCGATTTTTACAATGTCTGATTTAATTGAGCAAAGAAGTGCCATCAAATTTTGTTTGCGGAATGAAATTTCGGCTGCGGAAACGTTGAGGATGTTGCGGAAGGCCTTTGGTGATTCTACCATGTCGCAGAAAAATGTTTATAAGTGGTACAAAGACTTCAAAGAGGGTCGAGAACGTGTTGATGACTTGGAGCGCTCCGGACGACCATCGATGTCAACAGATGACCAACACGTCAATAAAGTGAAGGAATTAGTGCTCGAAAATCGTCGGTTGACTGTTAGAGATCTTACTGATATGATCGGAATATCAGAAGGATCTGTGAAAACAATTTTGAAAGACCATTTGGGCCTACGAAAAGTCAAATCTCGTTTGGTACCGAAAACGCTCAATTTCTTGCAAAAAAGTCGCCGCGTTGATGTGAGTGAAACAATGCTTTCTGACTATCAGGACAAGCTCAAATGCATGATTACGGGAGATGAGACTTGGATTTATGCTTACGACCCTGAAACAACCGACCAATCAAGCGAATATCGTGCTAAAGGCGAGGCCAGACCGAAAAGAGCACGTCAAAGTCGTTCAAAAATCAAGGTCATGATGACAGTTTTCTTCGATTTTCGTGGTGTGGTGCACTATGAATTCCTTCCACCCGGCCAAACTGTTAATAAGGAATATTATTTGAGCGTTATGCGTCGTTTGCGTGAAGCAATTCGTCTAAAAAGACCAGAATTATAGGCCAACAACTCTTGGTTTTTGCATCACGATAATGCACCATCTCACACTGCACTCGTTCTTCGTGACCATTTCGCCAAAAATTCGACGCATATCGTTCCGCAACCACCGTATTCGCCTGATTTGGCTCCGTGTGACTTCTGGCTATTCCCAAAACTCAAGAGACCACTCCGGGGAACGCGTTTCGAGTCGATTGAGGAGATAAGAGCTGAATCGAAGAAGGCGCTGATGGCTATACCGGAAAGGGACTATTTGGCATGTTTCGAGGATTGGAAAAAACGTTGGCATAAGTGTATTTTATCGGGAGGGGATTACTTCGAAGGGGATGACATTGATGTAGAAGAATAAATAAAGATTTTTCATTTTACAAACAAATTCACCTTACTTTTTGCCCACAGTAGTATATATAAATTCTCAGACGCGTAATTTACGCCTCGCGATATCTATTATTTTTTGATTACATAAAAAGTATTACTCACTTTGTATTAATATTGTAAATATAAATTGGTCCAAAATATTATTTGCTTCGTGATGTGGCCAATCACTTTTTCTTTGAATCTGATCAGATCAACTGGTCCAATATATTTTTTATCCAATAGTGTAGCAACACGCAAGAAAATGATAATTCCTCTGATTTTCGTTTACACAAAATTATAAAAACAATTGTATTCGACACTTCTAATAGTTAATCGCAACTCGAACAATTATATTCTCAAACTCTTATTATGGATTTAACTTCAGTAGGAAAAATGCAGGCTTCTTAGTTGAGCGCTCACTCTTAACTGACTAATTCTCTGGCGTTGTTTTCGCCGGTTTATTATATATCCTTTGTCCCTTGCATCCGTCTCTCTCTCTCGCGCATATGCTTTAGACGTTTACGCTCCTCGTATCGGCTCGTCTTACCTAGCTAAGCACGCTGACTGCAGCATGCTGTCGCAGCATGCTGACGCAGCGTGAATCAGCCTCTGCCGCTCATTCCCGCCGAGTCGCGCACACGAATACTACTAGCTATACTATGTCCGAGCGAAATCTCAAGAGCAAAATATTATTCGATAAAATATAATTATAACGTAATAAGATGTTACGTAACAATCCCATTGGAAAATTTGTTGCTTAGAAATTACATAGATCTACAGAAAAATAGAATAACCCAAATAATACATAAAAACATGAATTTTACTTTGTAAAAAATGTTTACTATATATATTCTTAATCTTGAAAACCGGTAGCTTAAGATTGCAAGCATTTCGTTTTGTCAAAATAAAATAATCTGAGTGTCTACTAGGTTCTTCAACTTTGAGTACTATTTTCCATTTCACTATTTTTCTGATTTCAAAATGTATTTTGCATACCACATTCATTTTTATTTAATTCTGAATAGACTTATTTGCCCTTTGTTCATGTGTGGAATGAAAATTTCTTGAGGAGAAATTGATATTTTCTTTTTCTCGTATGGCGAAACCAATATTCGAAAAATAATGAAGATTTTACGCTTGTTTTAGTCAAAATCAAGCATGTAAGCTAATTTTGTTTAGTTAGCTAACTTGTATTCTTTTTGAAAAGATACTTTTGAGGTTACAATATAGATTGATTAAAATTGACATAATCTTTTTCAAAAGTGTGTTTTTTGAAAAACCCGTGTTGATTAGAATCATTTTTTTCCAACATTATTTAAGATCAAATTTTGCAAGAGATGAACCCTATTGAAAAAGATGACGTTATTTTATGACGTTATAAATAACGTTATAAAATAACATTATTTTATAACGTTATTCGACGTGTTACGAATTGGAACAAAAATAACGTTATTTTTCTAAACCTCGCGCCGAATGAAATAACGTTATTTCTCAAAATAACGTCATTTTCTTTACCAAAATCAAAATTGTACTGAATGCGATAACGTTATTTCTCAACAAAATAACGTAATTGTCTGCGAAGAATGTCATTTTTAAAATGAAATAACGTTATTTGCATCCCCGTTAAAATTTCCAAAATAACGTTATTGTTTGCGTTATCCCAGAATTTAACGTTATTAATCATTTATACGTCATTTTTACCCCCGTAAAATTTACAGAAATAACGTTATTGTGCTGATTCAATAACGTTATTTCTAGGACTTAACGTTATTTTAAGTGATAACGTTATTTTTCACCATAAGTTTTAGAAATAACGTTATTGTGACGATCCAATAACGTTATTTTTAATTTTTTTATGCCCACAGCTGCCCTGGGTCTTTACTTTATTCCATTTAATGATGTTATTTGCTGATACGAAATATTATTTATTTTATTATAATAAAATACATATTTTCAAAAATATTTTTAAACAATATATGAAATATTTATTCTAATTATCGTAAGAAAAGTTATCTTGCAACGAAAGCAATTTTAAATACATTACATGCACAAGTTTAGAATGATTCATGAATAATATTGCAAAGGCAAATTATTGCAAATTAAGGTAATCGTAATGTAAGATATATTAATAAACTCTTAAAACGTTTTTAGTTAATACTTAAATTAAAACATTACTTCTAGGAAGACATTGAATTCTTATACCTATTACAAATAAAATTGTATCAAGTTAAAGCTAAGTAATAAATACTATAAATAAAAGAAATAGTTTAGTAAAAAACAGAACAAAAAATTATAATCGTCAATAATATAACTTAATCATCTTCATCTTCAGAAGCTTCATTGCCTGACCAATCATCATTTTCAGATTTGTTTTCTTCTTCATTTTGTACTTCTAGGTCCCCACTCTCAGATAAATCATCTCCAGAATCCTGTCGACTGTTTATTCTAAAGAACTTTTCTCTTTCTTGAGCAATGACAGTTCCAAAAAATCGTCCAAATTTGTTAATGTGCTTTGCTTGTTGTTTTGTTGACATTTCTTGTGTGATAATTTCTTTATGGAATAAATATTGTACATAACTTTCTGCAAATTGATAATTGATGTATTTCAAATAATTTACTGAAAGATATTAAAAAATCATTATAGCTACTTTTGAGAGCTTCAAAGAGTCTAGAGTCTATTGGTTCTCTACCATTCGTATCTTTTGTTCTATCAATTTGTACAGCCAGCTTAACAAATTCATGTAGTTTCCACAAGTGTGGGTACAGTTCACGGATAAACTTGTAGCTGGACGACGCTTTTTTAGCCTTTCTCCAAGCTTTTCGTGGAATAGATACACCGTAATGTAAATGAAACATGGTCATCTATAAAGATTTTATTTTTAGTTCGTGTTTATTAGTATTCAAAGAAAAATTATTTTTTTAATGATTATATTAATACATACTTTAGGCTGCCCATCAGTTGCTCCTTTTTCCCAAGTAGTCAATTTCTCTCTCTGTATTAAATCAGATTTAGTATAATCATCGGTATCATATTGTATCTTTTTAATCTTTCTTTTATACTTCTTGTTAGCATCAGCATTTTTGTTGCCAGCAGCATCTTTTTTAACTTCCTTACGAATAAATTTTGATTCATTTTTTTCAGTTCTCAATCTAAATTCTCGTTTAGATTTCTCTTTGGACATCTTTTTTGGAATTGCTTCTTTATATTCGATAATGTTGTCCATATCTTCATGAAAAGAGGGCTTTAAACTGTTTGATGAAGTAGCTGTTTCTGATGTTTGATTGTGTATTGATCTTGAGGCTTTTCTTTTCAATCCTGAATATTGAGCTCGATTTTTCTTTTGAACTTTTACGTTTTCTTCGTCTGAATAATAATGTTCTTTCTCGACAAAACGTGATGTAGACGCTCTTGCAAAACATTTGGATGGAGGTGATTTAATAGATAATTGCATATTATTCCCGGAATGCCCTTCAGCTTCTAATGCTTCTGAAACATAGATCATTTGTTTTTTAAAATTTATTTATATTATATACAAAAATTATTAATTAATTATTTCCTTTATTACTTACTGGTTAAAACAACTGTACAGGGATTTACAATAGTTTCAGAGCAAACTGGTACGGAATGCTTGCCTCTCGGACTACTCTCATTGTTTCTGACTTCAACGGGCATAGCACTCTTTGCTGACTTATTTTTGTCTTGTAGCTCTTTGAGTTGATTTCGAAGATTTTCAATAATTTGATCCTTATCTTCATCATCATCAAATTCCAAATTGTTAGTAAACAAAAGCTTTTTATGCACATTATCGTTAGCATAATTTATAGAAGGAGGTACCTGAATAAAAAATGAGATATTATTTTCAACGACGTGGAAATTTGAAATGAAATATTTTCAAATTTGAATGGAATGTAACATTTTTTTTAATAACATGAATTATTTCTAAAAAAATAGAATAAATATTATAATGTTTCAATTTACAAAATGATTTGATCTATGTCATGTAACAGAAATTTTTAAATACTACTTCCAAATGTTTTGATTTATTTAGACTGTAGTACAAAATAATTTAGTTAAGAAACAAAAAAAAATATATAGAAGGTGATGCTGCTTAACTACGCTAGTTTTAATAAAAAATAAAATTGAATCCTTACGTCTTTATCTGTAGAGTTCAATGAAAGAACAGGTTTTGTACTTTTTTTTGATTTGTCAGCCTTTTCAGCCTTTTTAGCTAACTCGTATAGTACAACACTGCGCCTTTTTGTAGGCTTCAACCATCTTTTTTCTTTATTCATCAGATTATTCTTGTCATCCGACACATCTAAAATGATAGCAGGTTCAAAAATAATTTCTCCTTCAGGATCCAATCCATTTTCCACATTTGCATCATATGGAAATTTTTTATGAGTGATATCAAATTTCTGTATTTTTGAAGTAGATATGAAATGCACTTTGTTTGTATCAATATAGAATCTAATTGCTGCAACATAATCCTTTGTTTCTTCTTCATTGTCCAATCCACTATCGTTTTCACCCATTGCTCTTCAAATAATTTGCTACAAGTGAAGTTTGTAAGTTTAATAATCACATAATTTCTGCAATACTTGATATAGAAAAGAGGAATCAAAAAATTGTAGACAGAAAATGTAAAATGAAAGAAATTTAATAAAATGTGTAAAATGTTATAGGTATATTTTAGTAATTAAAGAGCAAGGAAAAGTAGAATAAGATGTATATATTCTGGTTTTAAGTTTAGTTTATAAGTTTATTTTTTGTATCTAATCTCATGCGTGAGCCTTCCATCTCTGTGGATTGACAAAAAATTGGCACATGTCTAAATTGTCTGGTAAAAATAAAAATAAAAAAAAATGTTCAAAATCTTATAAAAAAAAAGAATGTACATGATGTCAGAAATATTGCGGTGCTGAATATTCAATTTAAGATACAACAATTAGTTAGTGACATAAACCAATACTTTGCTACTTCAAAGAGGATTATTAGTATAGGCTCACTGACTAATCAATCACAGTTGCTTTCCTAATACAAATAAACTAATAATTGTCATTTAACAAAATTATACACTCACATTTACAAGAATGTGACAAAGAAATTTAATAAAATGTGTAAAATGTTATAGGTATCTTTTAGTAATTAAAGAGCAAGGAAAAGTAGATTAAGATGTATATATTCTGGTTTTAAGTTTAGTTTATAAGTTTATTTTTTGTATCCAATCTCTTGCGTGAGCCTTCCATCTCTGTGGATTGACAAAAAATTGGCACATGTCTAAATTGTCTGGTAAAAATAAAAATAAAAAAAAATGTTCAAAATCTTATAAAAAAAAAGAATGTACATGATGTCAGAAATATTGCGGTGCTGAATATTCAATTTCAGATACAACAATTAGTTAGTGACATAAACCAATACTTTGCTACTTCAAAGAGGATTATTCGTATAGGCTCACTGACTAATCAATCACAGTTGCTTTCCTAATACAAATAAACTAATAATTGTCATTTAACAAAATTATACACTCACATTTACAAGAATGTGACAAAGAAATTTAATAAAATGTGTAAAATGTTATAGGTATCTTTTAGTAATTAAAGAGCAAGGAAAAGTAGATTAAGATGTATATATTCTGGTTTTAAGTTTAGTTTATAAGTTTATTTTTTGTATCCAATCTCTTGCGTGAGCCTTCCATCTCTGTGGATTGACAAAAAATTGGCACATGTCTAAATTGTCTGGTAAAAATAAAAATAAAAAAAAATGTTCAAAATCTTATAAAAAAAAAAGAATGTACATGATGTCAGAAATATTGCGGTGCTGAATATTTAATTTCAGATACAACAATTAGTTAGTGACATAAACCAATACTTTGCTACTTCAAAGAGGATTATTCGTATAGGCTCACTGACTAATCAATCACAGTTGCTTTCCTAATACAAATAAACTAATAATTGTCATTTAACAAAATTATACACTCACATTTACAAGAATGTGACAATATCATTATTTACATTCAATACATATGAGTTCATTGTAAATGTTATTATAACACATTTTTGTTGGATACAACTATTTCAAGAATCTACTCGTTAAATTGTGTTCTATGATTATCAGAACGTTAATATGAATCTATGTATTACATTAAGTGTTAGATTAATTTTAATTGAAGTTGTTAAATATTATATTAATTAAAACTACTTACCCAATAATTAGTTGTAATTTTTCGTGTTTTGAATAAGAGAAAATTCTTTGTCAAGGATATAATGATTTTGTTCACAAACTATATTAGCAGAGATATACTATTGTATTATATATATTCTGAGACTTTGAAATGAGGAAGAAGACACAGGGGGCCTATTCTGAAAAAAAATTTTGTGGTAAATCAGTTTGTCACTTCAATCATTATTTACATTCAATACATATGAGTTCATTGTAAATGTTATTATAACACATTTTTGTTGGATACAACTATTTCAAGAATCTACTCTTTAAATTGTGTTCTATGATTATCAGAACGTTAATATGAATCTATGTATTACATTAAGTGTTAGATTAATTTTAATTAAAGTTGTTAAATATTATATTAATTAAAACTACTTACCCAATAATTAGTTGTAATTTTTCGTATTTTGAAGAAGAGAAAATTCTTTGTCAAGGATATAATGATTTTGTTCCCAAACTATATTAGCAGAGATATACTATTGTATTATATATATTCTGAGACTTTGAAATGAGGAAGAAGACACAGGGGGCCTATTCTGAAAAAAAATTTTGTGGTAAATCAGTTTGTCACTTCAATCATTATTTACATTCAATACATATGAGTTCATTGTAAATGTTATTATAACACATTTTTGTTGGATACAACTATTTCAAGAATCTACTCTTTAAATTGTGTTCTATGATTATCAGAACGTTAATATGAATCTATGTATTACATTAAGTGTTAGATTAATTTTAATTAAAGTTGTTAAATATTATATTAATTAAAACTACTTACCCAATAATTAGTTGTAATTTTTCGTATTTTGAAGAAGAGAAAATTCTTTGTCAAGGATATAATGATTTTGTTCCCAAACTATATTAGCAGAGATATACTATTGTATTATATATATTCTGAGACTTTGAAATGAGGAAGAAGACACAGGGGGCCTATTCTGAAAAAAAATTTTGTGGTAAATCAGTTTGTCACTTCAATCATTATTTACATTCAATACATATGAGTTCATTGTAAATGTTATTATAACACATTTTTGTTGGATACAACTATTTCAAGAATCTACTCTTTAAATTGTGTTCTATGATTATCAGAACGTTAATATGAATCTATGTATTACATTAAGTGTTAGATTAATTTTAATTAAAGTTGTTAAATATTATATTAATTAAAACTACTTACCCAATAATTAGTTGTAATTTTTCGTATTTTGAAGAAGAGAAAATTCTTTGTCAAGGATATAATGATTTTGTTCCCAAACTATATTAGCAGAGATATACTATTGTATTTTATATATTCTGAGACTTTGAAATGAGGAAGAAGACACAGGGGGCCTATTCTGAAAAAAAATTTTGTGGTAAATCAGTTTGTCACTTCAATCATTATTTACATTCAATACATATGAGTTCATTGTAAATGTTATTATAACACATTTTTGTTGGATACAACTATTTCAAGAATCTACTCTTTAAATTGTGTTCTATGATTATCAGAAAGTTAATATGAATCTATGTATTACATTAAGTGTTAGATTAATTTTAATTAAAGTTGTTAAATATTATATTAATTAAAACTACTTACCCGATAATTAGTTGTAATTTTTCGTGTTTTGTAATTGTAATTTTTTTTCAGAATAGGCCCCCAGTTAGACTAGCCTAGATGTAACGGATATTTTCTCTATTATGAATCTCCATGATCCAGCACATTATTTCAAAAAAACCGTAAAGTAAAATATAAAAAGAAATTGCGCATTATTCGCTCGTTACGTATCCGTTATTAAAAAAATACTTTGTCCCTCAGTTTCTGAAATATTGTTAAAAAAACTTGTCTATGTTAGACGGTTTAGTTTTAGTTTTACTAGATGGCGGTGAGTCTCTGACTGAGACGCCGATAAACCAAACCGTATGCTTGATTTATGCAAGACGGTGTGCCACGCATGCGTAGTAAGCCATACCATCTGTGCTGATATTGCAAAAAACAGTTATTTTGGTTCTATTGTCAAATCAAACCATGGTTATTTTGAACGAAATAAAATATTATTCTGTATGAAACAGTTAGGCGCAATCGTTTAGCGTGGTCTGAATGAAAAAAAATATGCTGCTGATGAGGAGAAAAAAAAATATTGAAAAAGCGTCTAGCACAAACAAGTTTTTTAACAATATTTCGGTAACTAAAGGTCGCGGTTTTTTCTTAATAACAGATTCATAACGAGCGAACAACACGGAATTTTATTATATAATGTACTTTACAGTTTTTCGTAAAAGTATGTCGCGGTCACGGAGATCTATACACTAATAGTACAGCTGTATATCTCTATAGTTAGTTTAGCATCATTTACCCGCCCGTTTTATTATTTATATGTGTTAGTTCTGTGAGATCAAGATGTAAGTACCAAAATATCAGTTTGTAGATTTATTCATTGTTTCACAGAATATTTTTATTTTAATAAACTGAATTTAATTGAATATTTCAGTTACGATAACCATGGAACATCGATATAACAAGAACAGATTTAATATAGCATTGAATACGCCAAGAACAACAAGATACAATCGAAGGAGAAGAGAGAGAGAAAGAGATCAAAGCTCTTCAGATTCCAGTGTTGATGATGAGAGATGGAGGAATAATTATGCAGTAAGTACAGAAACTTGGCAATATAATAGTAATAGCTTTATAAATAAACAATATTATAATATAATTTTTTTTTTAATTTTTCTAGCAAGTTGCAAACATTTTGCAGAGGGTAAATAATAATTCTGATAGTGATGACTCTAATCTCAATGATGATGACTCTCATTCCAACTCATCTCTAGGCTCTAATGCAATGTCTATAGCAATATCAAATGTTACAGATAATGAATTACTTTCAAATTTAAATGAGGTACGTAATAGAAAATATTTACAGTGTTATAGCTATAATTATTTTTTTCCTAAGTACGTATATTTATATATTTTTTACAGGATGAAAGCTTGTCATCTGTCATATTGAATAACAATACAAGTTCTGAATCTGCAAGTGACATTAATGTAAGTATACGAAATTGACTAATTGCGAATACAAAAAGTATTATCATGGCATGGCATACGTACTTAAGACCACCATGGAAAAATTATGCTTGTTCAATGGCTTTACTAATATACAATTCTTAACTTATTTAATTGACGGTGGCTTCTTTAAAATTTTAAACATTTCTTGAAGTTCTGGGAAAGTTCATGTGCCATATATGCCATGCCTTTACTCCTCTATACCTAAAATGTGAACAATGTAATTGTATTCACAATAAACACAAACTTTATTTACATGTGTACACTCATACACGAATATTATTTTTTATTTTGTTTTTATTATTTATTGAATTATTTAATAGATATAGAAATAATAACGTTGCACTTTGTTGTAGAGTGAATCAATTAATGACAATATGCATATATGAGACTGATTTTATTTTAACTGAAAAAAATATTAACTTGTATGTACAAATTTGTGAAGTTATTTGCAATTAAAAATTTGACAACTAACATAATCTTTCTTTGAAACTTGAGTATTAAATCAAGGTCAATTGAAAATAATATGCACGTTTTTAACTAGAAAACTTTTTTTACTATTTTTTTTATTATGTAATTGTACACTGCAAAGTGCTAACTGTTGTTTGGAAAAAATTGTTTACTGCAAATTCTACCTTCGTCCAAAACTTTCCTTTCTATACACTGAAATTATTTAATAATGGCATGGAATTTTCAATACAAGATTACTTATTTTTTTAAATTCATAGCTTCTTATTAACACAAAGATAATACAATTTATACTTAGACAATAAATATATACACTGTGTGCATTGACATTGCTGTTACATATTATCATATTTTTTAATGAAACTATACACGTTATTATTTGCATGAAATAATTATTTGGTTTGTCTAAATAGTATTTGATGTCAAATGAGAGGACGGAAGTATTATTTAATAAGCTGAAGATCTTACTGAGCTGAGCTTAAATGTAATAATTAAAATTAAATCTAATTTCGTATTCAAAATCAATTTAAATCATTATTAAATAATTTCTATATCGAAAAGAATTTCTAGACTAAATTAGAATTAGCAACAAATAAAATTATAATGAATCAAAAAATGAATACTGGAAATTATTATTTAAAAATTATGGAAAATCACGGTATGAATATACGAATATAAAATAAAATGTTTTCCATGAAAAAAAGATGACGCCGTAAGAGGTTTAGGTTGCATGTTGCCTTGTTTTTCAATCAATTTTCCATACAACTATTACAATGAATCTATTATATTATAACTAGTAATATAAATGATTTAATTTCATTAGCTAATACAAATCTTCAAAATTAATATCAATATTTATATCTTATCTCAATTTCTTCTAGCATAGTACCAAAAAATCACGTTTTTTTTTTTATTAATAATCTTCTTGATTATTAAAACTATAAAAATGAGGAAAAAATCGTACAATGTGTTCAACCAAAAAATCTGAAAAATTGATCTTTTCAATAGAGATTATTTTTATTTTGACAATTTATGCTGTAAATTAAATGGAATTATTTTTGTTTTTTTGTTTTTGAAATATTTATATATTAGGTACCCTTTATTATGTGTCGCTTATCGAACCAAATGAAACCCTATAGTCACTTTCATGAAAAATATTGGAAGCAATGCTCATTTTGAACTTGAAAAAGTATCTAAAAATCCTTTTAAAATCTATTTAAAAAAAATGAAAATATTGAGTTCATTGCAAAAATTTTATTTTTTTCACACATAATATATGTTCAAAAATTAAAACAATTTGATTGATATATAAAAAAATAGAAATCGAGGTATAAAGCTACCTTGAATATTTAGCGTTCAACGGCTAATATAATATTTATTGTTATCAAGGATGACGCAAGGATAAATATACGTGAGCAACTTCTTCATGAGCAGGATGATGAGTTAGCTAGCGATGAAGATTGGGCAGAATACGAACCTATTTTCCAGGTGAATTTGAATGTGAGAGAAAATCCTTTGGAGGAGATGCTACACGATGACGATGCAAATGAGGCTCTCAATGTTCGCGTGAACATTACTAAAGCAGAAATATTTTTGGGAGTCTTAAAATTTTCCCTAGTCCATAAGCTGTCACAATCTGCAATAGCAGATTTATTTAAAATGTTGAACATATTTTTTAATAACAATATTTTACCTCAATCGCGATATTCAGTTAATAAATTATTCAACTTTGAAAATAATATAGATTATCATGCCCTATGTCCTAACTGTAAGGGTTATGTTAGACAATTTCATCGGGAACAGGATCCGAATGCACGTTGTGATCCTTGTAATTTAGAATTTTCTGTAACCGACCCTACGTATAGAGACTTTTTCTGCATAATAAATCCGGAAGAGGAAATAAGGCATTACGTTGAAGAGAATTGGTTATATTATCAGTCTGTAGTTGAAGCACGTGCTGACAACGCGGCTCATTTGAATGAATTCCACAATGGTTTGTTATACAAACGATTAAGAAACTCTCTGCCCGATGACCGGAAAAATCAATTTGTAACTGTGACATTCAACTGTGATGGTTCTCCTGTCTTTGAAAGCTCCAATTTCTCCATTTGGCCGATCCAAATAATAATAAATGAATTACCTTTTAAATTAAGAACCGCAAAACCGATTGTATGTGGTCTATGGTTTGGACGAAACAAACCAAACATGAACATGTTTTTGGAACCATTCGTTAATAGAATGAATGTATTTTCGGATGAAGGTATAACATGTAACATACGAGGCACACTTCATACTATTTATGTATATAGCATATGTTCTTGCGATGATTCTGTAGCTCGTGCCCCCATGCAAGGAATTGTTCAATTTAATGGATATTTTGGGTGCAACTGGTGTTTACATCCCGGTTATTACATAGCAGTAGGTCGAGGCGGCAGCGTTAAATATATATCATTAGATGAAGCAATCGAAGACAGAAACCATGCGGATACTTTGCGAGATGCTCGCCTGGCCGTAGAATTTGGGCAAGCTATCAATGGCGTTGTTAATGAATCAGTTCTTACTCGCTTAACACATTTTAATATCATTTCTGGTTTTGTGCCCGATCCTATGCATTTTATGGATTTGGGCATAGGCAAGCAATTCGCTAAATATTGGTTTGATACTAGTAATATGCCTTATTCATTAACTAATGCAGAAATCGACCGCATTGATGCGGTGTTAAGAAATATAACTGTTCCTAGCAAACTTATGAGAAACTCTCGTTCCATAAAAGATCGAAAATATTGGAAAGCAAAAGAATTTCAAAATTGGATTTTGTATTTCAGTATGGTCGTGCTTTTAATGATTCCTCGAATGAGAGTCTACGCGACACATTGGTCTTATTTTGTAAGAGCTTATTACATATTACTTCGAGATAATATAACTCGAGAACAATTACGCGAAGCGCATCGTTTATTAACACTGTTTGTAGCGTTAACTGAATTTTATTACGGAAGAAGCTCAATGACATACAATGTTCACCAGTTATTACATGCAGTTCAATCCACTATCAATTGGGGGTCATTATATTACCACTCTGGCTACGGGTTTGAGAACGGCAATGGGGAAATTGTGAAAATGGTAAATTCTGCAAAAGGTGTTCAATA